CTGTCATTCTGAGTGTTTGTTTTATATAAAGTATTTTATTGATGTATTGAAATCATCACAGCGACTTCATTTCGCTGAATTTCCCGCTCGAAGTTGGACCAAATCGGGGGTTTTGACAGTGGCTTTCGAATGGTCCAATCAGAGCGACTAATTTTGAACCCAAGAGAGCGATTTCGATTGTCAAAAATGTCTTAAGAATATAATGAGAAGTCATGTCAACCCTCCTCTAGGTCGCGCACTTATATGACACGGAGGGAGTAACGTGTGCGCGAGAAACATACGTAACGTTAGCTGTTGTCGATGGCTTTGATTAATCGTCTAACGTTAATCTTGGTTGGTTGTCGTACCAGCCGCTGTTCGACCCGTCGCGCTGCCACGTACTGTCTGCGACACATAATTGGCGTATCGTATCGTTTAGGCTTCATGGGGACTCGGAACAATGTCCGACATAACGAGCGGGCATTTTCGCTTTGAAGGAGTTGCATGTCGTAAGCGTTGCCCCCTAAATAGTTCGTAACGTTAAGTTATTGCTACGATTTTGTGGCGTCGGTCGACATGGATAGATTTGATTGTTCGACATAAGTTAACAGCCGTAGTTAACTACCGTAGGTAGGCAAGACAAGTTACCCAAAACAAGGGTACTTTACCTCACTGGGCTTTGAATGTGTGTGTGATAGCCGTTCAAAGCACCCGACATGGATTTTTATTCGCAGCAACTCGCCATTCGCGCTCATTTGCGGCTGTCATCGACGTGTGATGGCAAAATGCAATCTGTCGACATCGAGTTACTGGGGTTACTCGCTGTACTCAATGATTGTAAATATACCCACCAACTACCCCAATGCTCGATGACTTGAGATCACCAAGGAATTCCTAGGGATTGGTTTCTGGGGGGGTTGTGTTACTGTTCTGCGGTAGCAAATGTCAACATCGGCGAATCCACATTACCGGTACTGTAACGGAATTACGCACCTTGTCGTCCAAACTGCTTTCGTTTAACGTAAATTGATTGAACAGCTTCGAGGGTGGTAACTTGGTAACTTCTGTGTAGCAGCCACTTCTTGTATCAAACTCCAACTGAAATACAATTCTGTTCGAACTTGACAAAGCTGTGCGAGCGTATGCAGAATAACGGCCATTCAAGTTGAAAAGTGTACAGCCAGTCGCCATATCGCTGTATATAATATATAGGACAATCCGCTGGTTTTAATCGTCCGTGTCGATGCCTCTAGGACTTTGGAGTTTTTCTTCGTTCGCGAACTCATCCCGAGCGTCCAGTCTACCATTACCACTTCGAAGTACTACACCTTTTTGCAATTAAGTTGGACGAATACCCGATGTATTTGGTGCCCGTTTAATTTGGCACACCGCGGACGTGTGCCCGATATAATGGCCATGTGACCGATGAATATGGCAATCAAAAGTCAATTCAATATACAAATGGTCGTTAAACGACACATGCAGCATCGCTGATGTGACATCACATACCAACACCCATGTTGCCCATGGCCTCCGCGCGTCCATCGAGGGTGCGTATCTTGACTGTGAGGTAAATCGAAAAATGAGCTCTGTGCGCGACAGATTCAAGTTTTGGACGGAGTTGGAAGTATGGACGAAACGTTGGAGTATACGGGGAATACTTCAATTGACATCATTACGGGAGTTCGTGGGGGTGAGCTACGTCCATGCTGTGCGTTCCTTGGTGATTTGAATTATTAGCATTCAAGTGTTGGAGGAAAGCAATGCGCGCATCATGAACTTAAACTATACCTGGTACTTTATTGAAGTAAAAGTTTCGAATTCTTGCCTTGGAGTGTTTTCCTCCGAACTTCAACCATGATGTTGTTTCCCAACAAAACTGATTTGCATGAAATATAATTATAGTATTTGAGTTATTCCATTTTCATCGGTCATACGACACAATTCATCGGGCAGATGGCTAATTGCTTGGGCACATGGCCAATTAATTATATCGGGCACACCGCCAAATATATCGGGCATTCGTCCAACTTAACTGCAAAATGGTGTAATATTAGGGAAACCATCGATTCTCATTGGGCTTACTGTATATTTAGATTCAGCATAGAAATCTCATACACGCTCTACTTCGCAACCGACGTTGCTACAATAGGAAGATTGTTACAGTTGCAACGTCCCCTCAATTTCTGTACTGAACCGCATCATTGACGAGCGCAAAATATAGACATACTGTACGTATTTGTAAATTAGTACTGTAATACTCTGCGACGTGGTACAATGTTAGAACCAGAAATAATTGGATTGAATTTCATTGACAACTATATTGGTTTTGTGGTTGGTTTGAACAACGTTACCATGTACGGTATTAGTAGTAGGAAGATAAGACATATCGTGGCTTTGCTTCCTCCCGCTGCAAATCAGTGGGGCGAGTTTCGCTGTAACCACGAGACCACGAACTCTCCAGTTCGAAGAGAGCATGCCTTTCGTGTCAGTAGATATCCAAGAATTCTTCTGGCTACACCATAATACCGTAGTATTTGCTTACCTGTGGTCATTCAAAATGCCTGATATTCGTTCTGTGCCCCGACTTAATTGGTTCAAATCGTTGTTTACGCATAGTCATAAAACTACTTTAGATGCAAAATTTATTTAAATGTCTACAATATATACAATCAATGTGTTTAAACTTGCATATTTGATGTACAAAATGTACGTGACCACATGTGAACTCGAAGTTCAACTCATCGACAACAACTTCATTTTGCAATTTATACAGTACCTACCGATGACAATTGCCCCAACAACGCCCGATAAGAAGTTCAAGTGCCCTCCACTCCACCCCGTAAAGGAGCGAGCATTGGTGCAGCGGGGCTTAACTGCTTTGGAAGACGCCGTCGCAATCTCTCAACTCGACGGGGGGCGAGTCGTGTGGACTGTGCATTCCCGAGTAAAAGGCGTGACTATTTATGCAGGCCACGGCGTAGGGCACTTCCACTCGATGTTTATGGCTACAACACAAGTGCACAGCACGCTAAGTGAAGTGGCTGACCTCTTTCGAGCGCACGAGAGCTTGACGAGTATGGACACGGACGACGTTGTAGACTCGGCGGCGCTGTATCACCTGGCGTTACCGACTCCCAACCACCCCCGCAACTACGTCGGAGTTCAGTGGCAGGCACTGGCGCCAGCCGTCCCCATGGTTCGGAAGCGAGACGTTTGTATGGTCGAGTTCCAAGACGACTTTGAAATCAACGGCGTGCATGGGTGGGCGCGAGCGGCAACGTCGGTCGACGTGGAGGCTTGCCCCAACCTCGAGCCCAGCCAAGGCCTTGTGCGCATGCACATGGCTCAGTTCGCCCATATATTTCAAGAGTCAGCTACCCAACCAGGGTACCTCCATGCGTCCCTGTTGTTTCAAGCCGACTTTGGGGGCCGCCTCCCCGAATGGGTCTGTGACAGGTTGATTCTGAAACGCGTGCGCACGCTAGGTTCCCTCGATGGCCAATTGCACCGCCACCGACTCGGCAGGACACACTTTTTACTGCCCCATCAACTCGACCCACTCAGTCAATCGCATATTTGCTCGACTTGTTGTCGTCGGTTTGGCCGGCTCTCCAAGAAATTCCACTGCCTCAAATGTGGCCACGTTGTGTGCCATCGGTGCCAGCAACCGTGGCGGTTGGGTCGGGATCGACGCTGTCAAGTACACGTGTGCCATGGTTGCTCGTTGGAGCCAACCAACCCCAGCTTCCACAACGGCGGCAGACTCGGAAGTATTACTACGAACCCAGCGTTTCTTATGCGAAACAGCAGTGGCACCACCAGCAGTGTGCAGGATAGCAGCGTAGCCGATCGTTCGACAAGCGAAAGCGGACACAGCCTGGGGATTCAGCTGCTGCAAAGCCCGTTGGATCAGCTGTTGACGAGGCTCCATGGGATGGATAACATTGACAGGCGATGCACTGCAGTGCTTGGCTCGCCTAAACCTTGGGACGAGAATTACGTGCCTGTGGTGCTGTACGAAGCCTGCTAAAACGTTGAATAACGTTATTTTTGCTTCATTTCGTGAACAATATTTTTATTAACGTTAACGTCCTACCGGTAGTATATTACTGGTAATATAATTGTTGACAATATTTAGGTGTTATTTTAGAATGGCCTTGAAAAAATATAAAAATATGAACATTATAGTATAATTTGCTCATTAAATATATATTTTATAATAACGTACCAGTATTAGCTGTAATTACAGAAAAGTCCAAATTGTATACAATTTTCATGGTATTCCACCAATTATCAGCACGCAACGTAATTCGCACAATTGAGCTCATCATATATGCTTTACCTCTTTAAAGTGGTATGCCTGTCAATTGTTGATTTATATTTTTAAACTTTGGTGTTGTACGGCTGCAAGTAAATATATTCCTAGGTTTATTCTGTGATTGGTGCTTTTTCCAATTTGGGCTCAGCGATTGGCTTAGTTTTATACTACGTACTAGTATGTCATACTGTATTGGCATTTTACGTTATGCAGGACTTGCAGATCAATCCATGACTCGAAACTATAAAACGCGTTTAAACGTTTTCGTGAAATTCATTACAGTACCAACGTTACATACAGTACATGTACATGTGTATGGCAGAAAGGTGCAATTTCATTGACTGGCAAATCGACTTTGCTAGTAGTATATGACAAACAAACTCACATGTACCCCCAAAAGCACCGTGAGCTACGCATATGGAGCCACCAAGTGTATAAACATGTTGTCGTTAAATCACCCCTACCTTGTATTTTGCCACCTTTAGTCTCAGGTACAGTACAGTAAACGGCAAACTCGTACGTCAGCGTTTGAGGGCAGCAGCCACAACACCACAAGCCGGCTCTTTGCAATCCCGATCTAACTGTAAGCCTTACAGTGGTTGAATATGGGATGGATGTAGGTCAAGTTCCATTTCGGCATGAAAGAACGCACATACGCCATTACTGTCGGTTCCACTGGCCCTAATACGTCAAGTTCTCGTCTATCGCTGCCGGATACTTGTCCACTGTGTGAAGTTTCTCAAACGTGTTGTTGGTGGTGTTGAAAGCGCAGCTGGACTGTATGTAGTAAGCAATGCCAAGGCAAATGCTGCTACGTACAGCCAGCCTCCAACACCCCACAATAAGCCCACAATAAGTATACTACGTAGTACTACAGTAATACTAGTAGTACTGAAGTCTGTGGATTCAAAAAACGTGTTGTTGCTTTCTGGGTTTACGTTTAAACGTGTCACCACCACCACACAACCTGCGTGCGACATGTTGACCTCATGCCCAGTTTTGGTAGTCACACACTGTCCAATCTGTCAGCCCGTGCGCATCCAACGCACAACCCAACACTGCTACTAGTACTTAGATGCCTGCCAAGCTGCCCCTACCGCGCAAGTTCTTTACATGTCCCGAGCTGGACGTGGACTCTGCTTCGATGCTGGCAGACCACGCTGTGAACGGTCTGAAAACGATGGTCGAGCTCGCTCGGTTCCAAGGCGGCCCCATCACGTGGACACTTGAATCGGACAAGGACGGCATCCAGAACTACTCTGGGTCTGGCACCCATGCACCGGTCGGGGCCGTGCTCACGCTTCACGTGACCAACGTGGAAGGGACGTTGGAGGACGCGGCCTCTCTCATGCAAAGTACCAACCCAGCCGACTATACGGCGTACTGCGCAGCGTTCGCGCCCGATGTCAGCGACAGCGCGACGCTATACACCCTTCGAACGCCGTCCGCTGCCAAGCCGCGAGAGTATGCAGCGGTGAAATGGCAGTGCTTTGAATCACCCACGTCGCTGGTCAAGAGTCGAGATGTGTGCTATGTCGAGGTATTTTATAATTTAGACATTGCATATCAATCGATCCATCGATTGATTGATGGATGGTACGCCACTATCAATTATCGATATATATATATATATTGCATTAGCAAACAATTATTTCTCATCTGCCTCGTCGAATATCGTGAAATCTAATGGCTGATCGTGTCATTTTCGATTGTCTCAATAAATATATTATTTCGAAAGCCTGATGGTGGCTACTGCATTAAGTGTATATATATATATCAAGTGAAAAAAATAGTTCAGTTTGGTTCATGGTGATGCCTTTCATCGACACTTGAAGCTAGGTCTTCACCATATTGATTCTGAAAATGTGCGACAAGGTTCCTTCCAAAACCTGGTTATTTGCTCGTGTGATATATATATATCTATCATTAGCCTCCATTTCGTCAACACACACACCTATCATGTCCCGATATATATATATATATATACATCACGACACTTGAAGTATAACGTCATCGATTTATCGTTTGCAGGCACAACAAGATGTGACACTGCACCACGGCGTCAAAGGCTGGGCGCGGTGCATGCAATCGATTGACTTGCCGTGCTGCCCCAACCTCCAGGACTCTCACGATCTCGTCCGTGGCTGGCTCCACTATGGCGGGTACCTCTTTACCGAGACTACCATTCCCGGCGAAATGCAGATCATCCACGTACAATGCATGGACTTCAAGGGCCACTTGCCCCAATTCCTCGTCAAACTGTCGTCGAAAGCCCGCATGAAGACACTCGCGAGGCTGCATCGGCACTTCGCGCAAGCCGCCGTGTCGTTCTACCGGGCGCCGCTCAAATCTACCCGACGGCGCAAGTGTATGCTGTGTACAGTGGGCCCACAACTCACATGTTCCAAATGTCTGCAGGTACGACAATTGACATGTGTGATGATTGGATGATACGGGGGAGGGGCGTTCGTTCGTATAATGATTGAAGTATATACAGTACTATAACTCTTAACAATACTGGAGTTATGTGAATATTGGATTTTCTTGTGTGCTGTATATATATATATCCTTTAGTTTTGAACGTACGGCTGCTATTATATTGATCAAGTCATCTTGATTGGATGTTTGTTCTGTATGATGTCCCGTTCATTTATATTAATCACTGAAATTATGCTCTATTTCGATGGTGTTCGTGACTTCATTTATTTCCTACTGGAACTAGGATCTATGACGACTATATATATATAGAATTCGCCATGTTTCGGGACTATACGTGACCATGGGTGAATTTCATTATTTATACATTATTATATGTGTAGGGAGTGTGCATGAACTGCAACAAATACTGGAAGATGACGACCCCCGAAGGCCGAAAGACCCGCGTGTGCTACGCGTGCTCGTCGGCGCAAGCTACGGGGTTTCGAGGCGCCAAAAGTGATGTGCTCGTGGACGATTCGCTGTTTGATTCCATGAGTGGCAGCGATCATTTGGGTACAAATATATATATATATATATATATATAATGTAATTGTTGTTGTTGTAGTGGCATCTCTTACAGAACTAGGCCTGGACCGAGATGGCAGCGTGGGGTTGGATAAGGACGGCACCATCCGATTTCTGGCCCCAAGAGGGTTCACGTCTCCGTTTGATTTGGAGGGTCGGCAGTCGTACCATAGCGCAGGCAGCCACCATTCCAAAGCATGAACGGTCGAAAGAACAAGGAATTTTGTTGGTTGAGAAATATACTAACTATTAATAGTAAATGTAGTAATGGTTGGATAATTGAGTGGTATGGACGTACTAATAACTACACCATTTTTCGTTTAAGTTCAGGATAATTCTGGTATATTTCGTCCAGCGCACAACTGATTATGTGCGTTACAGTATGTATGTTCGCCAAGTATTCAATGTATTTCGTCCAGACCCTACTTAGTAGGATTATATTTCGACTAATGCGCGGTATATGTCACCCCCAGGCGGTATATCTGACATACGAAGTGTTGAATATATTTCAAATGTTGTTCCTTCCATCTATTTTGATAAATCGACGCAGTAATCGACGGAACGAAGCAGCCAATGAAATTTTCGAAAAAAACCTTTCGACCAATCAAATTACAGGCGTATCCGGTGCATTGCCAAACTTCTCCATTTCACAAAGAGCTCAACGTTGTATGTATCGGACAGGAGTCACAGTGAGTATATTTAAAATGACGCTCGACGAATTCAGGTGGATTTCACGTCGTTCGTCGAATCTACCGAAAATACCAAATTTAACTCGAAAGCACAATAACCTTATCTATATTTAGACAAGTATTCACCACCTGTGATTTACTTGATTTGCTTCAAAAATCGATATACTGTAGATGGAACATCATTTGAAATATATTGAACAACGCCTGGGGTGACATATACCGGACATTAGTCGAAATACTTCGAAGTATAATGCAACGAAGTAGGGTATGGACGAAATATATCGAATGCTTGGCGAACATAACGCACATAATCCGTTGCGCGTTGGACGAAATATACCAGGAATAACCTGAACTTAAACGAAAAATGGTGTAACGTATGGTTGGTGGAAACGTGTGGAGAGTGGCTGTTAGCTGTATTGCGGCCGCTTTGGACTCTTGTGTTCTAGTACAGTAGTTTGGGACGGCCGCCGCTGTTGGTATACGTATAGGCACAGTTCCGTGCCAACACAGTTCCGTGCCACGGCTTTGATAGGTCAATTCGGTCGATATTTGACCTATTATAGCCAATAGAACGCGTCTTTGAAATTCTGATACTCGAGGCAGGATTTTTGCATCCGAAATGGCACGGATTTGTTTTCAGCCTAAGTTATCGAGATTTTGAATATTCAAGGCCATTTTACTTCCAAACTAATGCGAAATTCGATACAATTTCAAGTCACACAATCTGCATTTTTCCTCGTGATTACAAAACACTATTGTAATAGCAAATTGGACGTCAGGAAGATCACCAACTGAGACCCTCTATACGTATAAATGTGGCACGGAACTCGGCCCTTACGTATACATGAAGAGTTGCCACATTTATGACTACTCGTCACTAAATGTGTTGCTATTAATGCTAATAGTAGTAATATTAATAGTAAGAAATACGCTAGTACTACTACTACTACTACTACCTATTAATCGTAATTCCTGTACAGTAATACTTCGAAGTAGTTAGTTCATGGGAAGAAAATTTGTCCACCTTCATGGAGCGACAGCATATTCCACTGTCACAGCACCAGTGTTGAATGCTACTATTCGTATAGTACGTAGTAAGTTTTACGTATATTAATACTACTTACTCTGAAAACTTCCCATCCGAGCGGGTGCATAGTGTACCTGAAATAGCAAATGTCTAGTACAACTACAACCACTACTCCATTTCCTACATGGTAATATAACTAATGTTAGTAGGGATGCTCTTCATCTTTCTAATACAGTATATAGTTTGTTGGAGAATCAGGGCGGCGGCGTTCTTCATTATTGGTTTGAAATATAATAGTATGTAGTAAGCTGATTACTAGTACTACATACACACACACACGAGCTTTTCCATCAAGCAGCGTGCGACACGGGCGTGGGGACTCCTTCCAGTTTCATGTGCTTGAGTTGTCTGTACAAGTCGATGAGTTGGGCTTTGGACACGGTCGAGTTGTTGTCGGCGCTTCGTTGGTCGTCCGTGATTGGTCGTTGCCCATAAGGGCCTCCAGCCACCAATCCTGGGTCCATCCAATTCTTAAACTGGGGGGTACTCGTATACTGGTGATACATGGGCTGGTGATGTTGATGGTTATGGGGGTCGTTTAGAAACACTGGCAAATCTCGACTCGATGGTACGTCGTCCCACGGGTTGTAGTGGTTGTGAAGTCCTTGTTGGGTCGGAGGAGGGGCATTCTGGTGGCAGTTGTAGGTCGTTGATTTCGAAGTATACGCCGATTGTTTCTGCATCTGGCGAAGCGGCGACGTCGGGGGCTCCACCTTCATTGAAAAGTGATGGGAATGTTGCTGTAGTTGTTCTTGGTATTGAGGGAGATACAAGGGCTGATGGGGCTGCTTTAGGGGGAGTCTAGCCGATGGAGCGTCAAGTGGATGATGAGACTGCTGAGGCTGGTGGACGTGGCTCTTGCGCGCTGTTCGTCTCGCCGGTTCGGAGCGCATGTCCGACACGTACTTCGGATGCAGCATGGACGCGCCGCCTTCGTCCTCCGAGTCGTCCAAGGTCATGGGCGGCCCCGCCGAGCACTTGAAGCACACCCGAACAAGCCGTGTGATATGCCGGGTATCGGTGATTTCCCACTTTTTATTGCAATGGCGACACACCACCTACGCATATATATATATATTGTTCATTCGATTCGAAATTGCAGTGGGATGCTCAATCACCAAATCAGCAGAGAAGCGATTGACCAATCAAAACACAAAACATGAATCAACTAGCCAATCAAATCCACTCTTCGAATAATTCAAGATCGAATTAGTGTGTGATCGAAATTAGTGTGATACTGGACGATCTTACAAAGAATCGATCGATAGATTTGGCAAAGAATCAGCACAAAAGTCCAAATATTGGGTAAAAGAAAGACAATATATAGTTGTGTTTAGTTAACACAGGAGCGACGGGCCGAAGATATCGACACACAACCCAATAAAGGGACAGAAGAATTGGCAGAAATATTTAGCCAATCAGATTGCAGGAAAACAACCATCAGCCATCCACAGCGCCAAGTCGTGTGTGACGTCAATTAGTGTGTATCGGGTTCAAAACCGCTGAATGTTTATACATACAAAATTCAGTACAATAAATCGATCGATGGATTTGGCACATTAGCACAAAAGTCCAAATAATCTTGGCTGAATGAAACACAATATATATATATATTGTGCTGCATTTTCACTACGAATGTGCCACGTTGTTGGAATATCACCGACCACCTCGAGCAAAGACAGATATGATTAGCTCAAAGTAATGTGAAGGGTGAATAATATATACTGTTTGGATATCAAACGATGGTATAAAAATATGGTGTCATCCGTCGTCAAGAAAACTCTAAAAAACTATTGTTTGATATGACATTTCGCAGGTCCAGCGATCATTCAGTGAACCCACCGCGGGAGGGTCAAGTTGGAGCAAAACACGCAATACATATATATATATATAAAAGTACTGTCCACACACAAACACACCCATAATATATATCCTTGTACCTCGCCACATCGGCGGCAATTTTGCCGTATCGAGAGTGCATTAAACACATGCTGGCAGAGATAGCACTTGCGCCGACTGGATGGCGGCACCAGCTCGTGGACATCGAGAAGAGCTTCGTTCGCCAGACGTATAGCCCTGAAGTATGCATCATAAGCGAGGACAGATCGCGCGCGGCGCTTAATGCCGATGCGCTGAATCCACGTCGGGATGAAGCCGCGGAGGTTGGTATTCCACAGCTGCGCTACACGGAGGTAGCCGGGTTTGCCAACAACTTGCTGGAACACGACGCCAGAGTTCTCGTACGTTGCTCGGACGATGCCCATAGCTTGGCGAAGTTCGGGGACCCACGGCAGCTCCACCGAGTGCATCACGCGGGCCCACCCTCGGACTCCATTGATTGAAAACTCATCCCGACACTACAACACACGAGATGATATATATATATAGGTGGGAATAGAAAAATAGAATATACTCATCCCGGTACTAAAACATGTGATTGGAGAGATGTATATAAATATATATATATATGGGTGGTGAATTATATATATATAAATATATGGGTGGTCAATTATGTATATATCTGCATTCAACGATGTTGGGGAATATATGGACGGCAACATAGAATTTAATCCTAGCACTATTGACAACTACAAGCCCTGTAGATATATATATACAGTATATATATACGATGATATATATGAGTAAAAATGTGCCCACTCACTGTAGAGATAGCAAACATACACGCAATAGAATACTAGGCTGATAAGTGGACCAAGATGCTCGGTAGCCAGCCAACGCACTTGTCCAGTTCAAATATATATCTCGAACAGTCATCACAATAGCCAACAATTCTTCTTTAATATATATATATATATATCCAAGTTGATTATAGAATAGTAGTTCCAGTGAAATTTATACATATAAATATATAAATCGACAGGCATATGACAAGAGGAAACCAATGGTTCAATCCTTCTAGAAAAAGTAAAAACCCGATACTTTATCGAAGGGATAGTATATATAAAGGCCACACCTCCACAAAGGTAAAATCGCGATTGCGAACTGCCATGGGGGTCTCCAGCGTGAGCCACTTCAAGCCAATGTAATTGTGTGGATGCTCTGCGGTGGGAGGCGCGAGGGTCTTGAGCACAGCGCAGTCAATCACGTCCTTGTTGTATCGGGAGATGTACGCGTGGTAGGTTTCGGGGGTGTCGGCGACGTGGAGCGCCGCCGCTTCGTCCAGCGAGCCTTCGATCTCGGCCACACTCATAAACACCGTCAGGTCAGTGTTCCCAATGTCCGAACCCCAGTAGATCTGCAGCCCGTTCGATTCCGTGTTCAGCGTCCATTCTATCGGTCCCCCCGTCATCTGCGTGTCGCGCACAAGGGTGGTCAGCGCGCGCAGGCCGGTTTCGATCCACGCCGATTCCTCTTGCGGCGTCGTCTGAGGATAAGCAAAGAAGTTGGGCGGCAGTGGATGCTTGAGTCCCGTCATGGACATCTTGCCGCGGCTAAGGCTGCCACTGCTACTGCTGCTGCTGCTGGCGGTGGTCCGACGATTCAGCGCCTTCATCCACCGACTGTCCACCTGACAACGACGGAGATAATTGCCAAGTGGTGACTGCGTAATATTATTGATGTCCAAACACCAGCAATTGGAATGTGGATAATTACACACATTCTAGCCAATGGGTGACTTTTTTCACTACGACGATGATATTCATGATATAATGTCAAGTTTGTCTTTACAAAGAAGGGAAAATGGTACATATTCCGTAACACGACCACAGCCATTTGTTGATATAATCCAACAGAATCAAGATAGTTATTGTGAGTCATGTGCACTGCCCCCAAGGCCACCAAGTCGTCTGTTTAATCAACTTTAGCATAGATTATAAAACGGTATACGAATCGTTAGCTCAAACCCTGGAAACAATCACTTCACAGTAGAATCTGCGGGGGAGGAAGAGTCGGCAACGGGTCAATCAGTGCATACATAGTTATACTACTAACGTTAGTACTTTGTTATTGTTATTACGCTGTAAAGTTAAAATCGCTCAGCGGGCACTTAATGGCCTCGGCCGCGTACTAGCTGCTTTGGCAGCTAGCGGACTTAACTACTACTAACGTTAGTACTAGTATTGAACAGCTTGTGCCTACCAGTACCGAAATGATATTGGAGAGGGGCTTCGACAGATCACAGTGACCTCTACATGGCTAGATAAGATGTTAGATCACCGCGATAAGTGGTTCTACTTATATCAGTTAGGTATCCAATACCTTTCAAATTCTAAATGTTCAAGAGGGGCACTTTGGTCTGCCGGGATCGGGCTTATCCGCGTAGTTAAGTCAGTCCGTTAAGTCACTTTTAGTTTTGCCCCCACCCCCTGACCATGCAAGTGTCCCTCGTACTCTCGCCCCCCTTCCTCAAGTGCTGCTCCTTCCTCGTCGTCTTGATACTCTATCTTGTCAAATCCGTTCCAATTAGGACTTCCGAGTGGAATCGAATGACTGTGACAAATGTCTTTGTCAATCAAAGTGCACTCACGAGCGAGAAACTTCAACCAATTATCGACTAGTATGGCTTGGCCCAACGCTTTGGCCCAAGGAAAATGTTCATCTTCAATTTTATATACCATACATTGAATAAGCTTAAAATATAACCCACATTGATTCTCGAATCAGCTGCCACGTCCGTATTTAGGCTAAAAGGACAATACTATTAAGGGCCTGTTCCAAGTTGATATTTTTAGCAAAATGAAAAATTGGTTCCAAGTACAGTTTCCTACTTTTTTACCTCTTTTTGTGCGACTTTTTACGCAACTCAGTATATCAAAAGTAGAAAAGAGGTCCTTGACGTCTTTTTCTAAATCGTGAAAAAAAAAGAAGAGGTAAATCGATTTTGATTGGCTCATGCTATTTCTGAAATCTACTTGGAACTTCCCCTAATAGTGTCTACCTTTCTGGTGTCCTATTCGAAGCTGGTTACAATAAAAATACAGAGTAGTACTCCGTTTGCAAAATAATACTACTCACTATCGATCGTACAAACTGCTAGATATACCACTGGGCAATTATTTCAGGTCGAGAAAAATAGAAAATACAAGCGCCTTTTTAGCGTGTACAACTTCTTCCAAAAATCTACAACGTCTGGCAAGAATATACATCTGCAACCATGCATACAAGGGTTCTTACTGTTAAACTCTTTGATCAGTTTGATCGGTATGTCAACCTGTTGTTACCCACAGGTACGTAGGGGTTATATGGTCCAGGTTTTACTATAAAACATTTTTACATTGTGGGTTCAACCTAAACTTTGACCACGTTAAAGCTCAACTTTATACGTTTTATTTCTGCCAAGGTGGGTTAAAGTAATACGAATACAAGTTTAATACTCTGAGTACTATTAATACTCCGGCCGGAGTAACATCATGTATCCTTCATGGCCAAAATCTACTGGCCTACATTGGCCCTATACAAAATATCACTTGGTTTAAAGTCTATTACTCGACCAATTATTCGACGAGATCTGTCGAAACTACGTCTCGTTTTACTTAAAATTTGAGAAATGACGATGAAATAGCAGCCAGACGGTTTGTGAAATGTTGGAAGTTTCTAGGTGTATTGGCAATGGTTGGGGTTCTCTTAAGTGCGAGTCAATGTTGTGAAAGGTCACCATGTAATCTGACCAAATTTACTGGTCGTCCATGAATTAACGTTCTAAAGTTAACGTTATCGGAGTGTAAGTCCAACGTTGTGATTGTGGTGGTGTACGGCGTACTAGTTACTACACTTCTATGCGGCTTTTTTTCACGATATTTCGCTTACCTTGCAGTATATTTCACCTGACCACCAATATATTTTGGCTACCTCCATTTAATTTCGTGGCAACCTCAAACTTCACGTTTATATTTCACCTACCGTAGCTAGCGGTATAATTCAACTAACTACTATTAATAGTAACTACTTGGTACCAGGTACTACGTAACGTTAGTATCGTTTTCTGTCAATATGTTTCACCCAGCAGGCGATTAATTTTGCCTCAAACCTAACCATAACATGAAAGGTCCGACCAATAGCGGTCATCTACGAATAATACTGGGGTATACTTAATTCAAGATAAAGGCAAGGGCTAAAGCTATTGTATGTGAACAAATACTGCGAGTACATCATGTCTTCAAGCTATCTCTTTATTGACAGGTGACCCGTTATTCTACCATATAGGTAGGACGCATTCTGGTGGTATATCTATCTACCTATGACCTGGGTAACGCTTGCCACTTTTCGGAATGTTGGACTCCATCGCCAGAACTACACAATCCCAACAAGTGACAAGTCGTGATGACAATTTGCCACCGATGCATGTTTCTACAAACAGTTCTTTTTTGTTCAACGACTTCTTGTTAGTACTCTTTGCCTGACAGAAATCGTCAAAGATTACCTCGTTGCTTCGGACAGCAGATCCGCCTTGCATTGAGCGAATAAATCGAGAGGAACTCAATGCACGGCGTATGTGTGCATAAACGATGGTATGCGTAACGATGGCAAGATTGTCGACCAAGCACACAGACTTGGTCGACAAAGACTTATACTGCACTAACGTTAGTTCTACAGGGTAGTACGTAAAGTCGGGTTTCGTGGCTTCGTGACATGTGTAGTGTTCTCGGTGATAAAGACCAGGGATCAAGCCCCCCCACTTTATAATTCCCTGCATTGATACTTTATGATTCTCTATAATATTTGCCTCAGTATTAGGTGTGCTTCGTCAGAGTACCCTAGGCAGGTTCAACTCCGTTGTCGATAGCCTTGGTGTTGTAGTTTGGGTGGGGGGGTTGCCGAACAATTTCGACGCGCTCGTCATCCTTATCGAATGCGGCCTGACGGAAGCTTACTAGGGCCTGGGCCAGCGAAATCGACTACCTTTAGCGAAAATAGCAGGGACAATCAATTCCGCAAAATGAATCGTTGTACCCCCCCCAGTGACGTACACGTCTTTCCCAATAGGGCTTCAAAATTCTTGATTATTGTCAGAGCAACTCCACCTCGTGGGATTTATCGAATGAGATTTATTCGGATAATGTACGGATAAATGTGAGATTTATTGGAGTCTTAGGGATAAATCTCAATTTCCCCCCTTAAACGAAACGGGGTAAACTTGATAATAATTGAAACTTTATATTATCCAACCATATCGGAAGGTGATGACTTTTCAAAATTCAAACACTTCAATCGTTTGGCATTGAAATGGATGACATCATTTCCACTGTGAGAAACTGCTGGAGACGCACTGGCATACTCAGCTCTGACTTGGAGGCGTCCAGCGCTTGAATGCATGCATAAATGGTAGGTCCAGACAGCCTGTAAATACCTATAAGAGTTAATTTACTGTGTGAATTGCATAATTTGCTCAGTTTCGTTTAGGGTGTAGCACTCCACCCACCCACCTTAACGAAGGAAATTCGTTCTGACAAGGTACGCTTGAGGGTCGTTGTGGAGTACATATGTGGAGTGCTGTTGTGCTTGATGTACACCCATAGACAGGTCGTGGATCGTCCACCGACGCACATGGCATGTTCATCTCTGTGAATTCGTAGGAACCCGGTGTTGCCAGGGCCACTACACTGGGGCTCGAAGGAGTTTGTGTTCCGGTGCTTGCGTTAACAGAAAACAACTGCATTAACGTTATTAATACATGTAACGTTAGCAACATCTTCACTGACCCACCAATTCGCACAATCGGAGTTATGATGGATACTACCGTACATACTACTACGTAGTACAGTAGTACGACATACTATCACACCACGCTCTTTTTTCCATTGTACTGACCTTCACATATCTTCGTCATGGTATCTTTAACTATATTGCACTATGCCGGGGCAAGCTGTCCATGTTGTTGGTCAACAAAAAGTATAACTGGCGAAATTGCGGCGAAGTCGTGTGTCGACAATGCCATCACATGTATCGCATCCCCGATCATCAAGTAATGGCGATACCGAATACACGCCGGACTTCATTTTGTAGCTTGGTCAAACCTCCAGGAAGGGGGTCCATGTTTCGACGAGCTAACCCCTCTGCGGCAACTACCGTGACCTTTCAAGTGTGTACTGACTGCTCGTCGACTCCCCTGATGCTGCCCGTAGCAAGGGAAATGGCTACGTTACCATGGATGACGAACTCTCCACGGTCAGATCCACATGGCAGGTGGCACCCCCCAATTTGGACGATCGGCACGCTGTGGTCACGCTCTCGTTTCGAGAATGTGACGCGCACCCCCTGCTCACGACCTTCAGTGACCCCCGCCGTCGTTCCAGCAGTAGTAGTACTAAATACGATCCCACCGACGCGGCGAGTGGTATGCCAGCCTACGAAGACGAGATACCCATCATGATGACGAATTTCGTCACGCTGGAAGAAGGCGAAGACTCGACAGAGCAGCACCACTGACGACGTTTTCAACCGGATCCATCTCGCCCTTCCCAGGCCAGATTGTTCCACAGGCTAGCTACCTTCCCGACTACAAAATCACCTCGACCACCGCATGCCAACTTTAGCCCCAGGCAAGCAAATACAACGACTGCAGGCACCACGAACATCGAGGGAGTCGACGTCGACCACCGCCGATACAGACGACTGAGGAGTTTCAGCTGTCGAGAGTACTGTAGTACTGTAGTTGTACCCAATGAAATACCAACAATTTTTGTCACAGCTAACAGTAAATACCGTACCGATCGAAAGTTAAGCAAAATTCATGCCAATATTGCCCTTGTACCCGAAATTTGGACTTTTGAGCTGATTCGCCAAATCTATCGATCGATTCTTTGTACTGACTTGTCCTATGTCACACTAATTCAGATCACATACTAATTCGATGTTGAAATGGTCGAAGAGAGAGTTTGATTGGCCATTTGATTAGTGTCCTGGGTTTTGATTGGTCGATCCATTGTCTGCCGACTATTGTAAGGGTCTGTCTGGATCGGGCACGGTGAATACAAATCGTAATATAAATATAAAATAGTATTCATTTCGAGAAAGTATTAATAAAACTACTGGCTTATATACAGAGACCAATCAGATTTAAAAATACTTTACATGCTGCGAACCCTTGGAGAATACTGTAGGTACTATTAATTCATAGTAACGTTACTATTAATATACATACTGTAAAATGTGAAGTCAGGCGACCAATAGAGAAACGGTTATGAATAAAACCTACAAGTACTAGTACCAGTATGCGTTAATCTCCATAACATATTATTTCGATTCGTTCAAAGGAACTTTGTATGCTCAGGCCACCTCACCTCTTACTAGGGGTGCATCTCAGCGGTTAGCGATAGCTAACCACTAGCGATGCAGTTAACCCCGGAGATTTACCATCGTATGTACTCACCGGGGGTAGGACGGAGTCCCAGGTTACTGGGCTACTGGAGAAAAGCTGTACTTGAGTACCAGTATGAATTCCCTCATTGAAACAGTATTTCGGGTCAAAACAACAGTGAGACTGTTTTAATGAGGGAATTATTCTCAAAGAAACGGACCTTTTTGTCCAATTAGAATTATTTAATTTAACCCTAATCATTTTGAAGCTATCTTTCTCATTTGGTACTACTGTACTTGGAGTACGTACAGTAAGTACTGCATTTGAACATTCTCTGTTAACGACACGTTGAATGAATGATTATTAGAATCGACTCGCAGTTTTTTTATTGACCAACTGCATTGAGAAAATGGATGAAAACTGATGTATTTCGATCCACTTATGTCATGCCTGATCCAGACAGACCCCTACAATAGGTGCTGCTCATTCGATTTTTGAGCTCCCCACTCCAATTTCGAATCGACAATACCAGGTATGTACAGTATTGTGTCCTCGAATACAGTTTAACGAAATCAAAGGGGACTTTTAGTCTACGGCACAGTCCAAGGTCAGACCAAACCAAGCTACAGTATGGAACTCTAGAACTTCCAAACGAAAGTGTGAATCTAAAATCGACACTCGAAAACAGCTGCCTGTACAGTAGTGGGTTGAGAACGTTACTCGAGATTATAAAGATCACACCAAAGCTCTCACCAAGGCCAATTGGTTGGGAGGTTGGTGTATTTGTAACGGCAAGACATTTGGCAGTCACGGCCTCGACGAATCAACTGCCACGAAGCTTACTCCTATCATCACCTCGTTGTTTGACAGCGGCCACACTTACTGTACCATACTTTGAGCATCTCCACCCCGGCGACACACAAGTCGCTCGCAGGGGTATCTCGGACACCACTTTGGTCTTGTTTGTGCAGTAGATTGACATGGCGTTCCGCAAGTCGACAACCATGTCGTCAACGGCATCGCAGTCATCCCGTCAGCGGCTACCCCCCGACTTCTTCATGTGCCCCGACCTGTCGTCTGCGGCGCAATGGGATTTGGTCCGTCGAAGCCAGCAGGCGCTCGTGGATCTCACACAAAAGACACGCCTTCACGGCGGCCCCATCACGTGGACACTGGATCACGAATCAAACGGCGTGCTGGTGTACCGAGGCAACGATCCGTTTCTGCCGCTGGAGGCCTCCTCGGTGTTGCTTCGAGTGACCGACGTCCGGGGTACGCTGGACGACATGGCCGAGCTCCTGCGCCAGCCAGACGGCGCCGCCACTTATCACAAAGCGCTCACAGTCGACTGTCAAACGTTGTACCGGATACAACCACCGGTCCCGCAGAACACAAGCAGTCTGGTAGTGCAGTGGCGGGGCCTGCAGCCGAGCTCTGTTCATCGTCGGCGGGATGTGTGCATGCTAGAGGTAACGTTTCTGTATTATCTGCCTACATACCTATGGAGGTAGGTAGGTATATGCTTACTAGTAGGCGGGGGAATGTCTATGTAGTACCAAGATGCGTTCAGCATGGATGGCGTCGGGGGCGTCGGTGAATGCGTGCAGTCTATCGACCTCCCCAGTGTATGCCCCGACCTACAGCAACCCCTAGGGTTTGTTCGCGGCTACATCCACTTGGGGGGAACCGTCTGTTTTCCGAGCACCCTACGCCGAGGATGTGTAACTGTGAGCCAGCTATACCAGACCGACTGGAACGGGCTGTTGCCTCCGTGGCTGTCTAGATGGCTCACAAGTGAAACGCCGTTGGTGGCCAAACTCGATGCGCACCTGCACCACGCCCGCCTTGTAAACGCGTTCTTCCGTAGCCACCCCCCCACCCCGCTTCGCCCGTCCGCGTCAGGTCGAGGGGCTTCGCAGTGCGCCGTGTGCACGGGTCGATTCTTCCTATGTGTCCGCACCAAATACACGTGCCACCCGTGCAGCCAAGCTGTGTGCCATCGATGCAGCCGGCGCCTTGTCGTAGACGGATATCACGCCCGAGTATGCGTACCTTGCATGTCCACTGCCATCAACAACCCCGCCCATGCCATCACGGCGGAATCGATCGGCTCTTCTCGACGGCAAAGCAACACCAACGTCCATGGCTCGGGCCGGAATGGTGGTCACTTGTTGTCGAGCCTGGATAGGCGCACTTCGCAGGATGAGGACAACGCTGCTGTTGGGCATATTCATGGGAACCCATCGGTGAACTACATCCACCATCATCATCACCAGCCCCCCCGACCAACGGAGCCACAGCAAGAAGAGCTGGGTCATCATTCGATTATTCGACTGTCGCCACCTCGTCCATCCATCGACATGCCAGGTTGGCAGCAGCAGCCCCCGCGCGGGTCGTGCCTTGTAATCGACGATGACGGCGCAACTACGATTCCGTTCCTCGTGAATACGTTCGATGGCGCCGATCGGGGGTCCAGTGTCGCGGCCCCCCTCCAGACGGGGACGCACTACATGTACGAGCCCAACTCGCATTCGCCGCCCCAGTGGATGCAGTCGTCTATGACATTTCCCGCCCGCCACTCGACGACTGTCATGATGATGATGCACGAAGACGGCAGTGTCGTGGATAGTAGTACTAGTAGTACGACTAGTAGTGTCGACTATCGGTCCAACACGGCCACGGTGGACCATCGCGTGTTTGAAAGCACGAGGGGGTGCATCGACCTCGAATGAAGAAATAGATCAATTGTGTTATGTGGCTATGATGAAATCGAGATTCAAACGAATTGATAGAGTTGAGGCTAGGTTCAAGTATAGATAGTCTCAATCTTCTCGAAGAATCCCAATGCGACAAGTGCGAATGCATGGCCGATTCTCTATGATATTATTAATAACTACAAATAGTATTAATACTGTACAGCGCCACAGCTACAAGCACGATGACAGCAATACTGTATTTACACACTTTTTTGCAGAGTTCATCAACAGATACGTAATGGCAGTCGATGCTGACGCTACAGAAAGGTGTAACGTAAATGACCAAATTTGTATCACTTTTTCCGAGTAGTCATCGTAGAATTCGCATATCTCCGCTCACAGGAAGGCTTTTCACATTTTGTCAAGTGATTCTTAACAAACATTTCATAATCAAATTACTAAATACTACACCATTTTTCCTTTAGCTCAGGTTATTTCCGGTATAATTCGTCCGACACTACTTACCGCGACCAACTAAACTCTAGAATATCTTGGCACTTCGGACCTTCCCCCCATCATTTGCTGATCTCTCTTGAAAAACTACAACGCATATATTTATTATATCACCGCAAATATATATATATATATATATATATTACACCGTATATATATATATTATTACACCGCATATATATTATTACACGTATATATATATATTATTACACCGCATATATATATATATATATTATTACACGTATATATATATATTATTACACCCGTATATATATATATTATTACACCGTATATATATAAATTATTAGACCACATATATATACTACGTAGTATACTGGTACTATACCGTTGGCGCGAGTGTAGGGGTAGCAGGGTGGTAATAGTATCCACGGGGTGGGGTTACACCGCATATATATATATTATTACCCCGTATATATATATATATTATTACCCCGTATATACATATATACTAACTAGTACATGTACTGCGCCGTTGGCGCGAGTGTAGGGGTAGCAGGGTAGTAATAGTATCCACGGGGTGGGGTTACACCGCATATATATATATTATTACCCCGTATATATATATATATACTAGTACATCTACTATGCCGTTGGCGCGAGTGTGGGGATAGCAGGGTAGTAATAGTATCCACGGGGGTGGGGTTCAACGGGGGGAGTGGTTGCATACATGTTTGTGACATCATTATCGTGTTGGTTTTGGGTCGATGGATTCCCGAGGTTTAGTGAGTGCAAGTGGTGGAGCAACTGGCGCAGTTGTCCGGGGGTGGCGCGGTCGTCCAGGTCTCGCAGTAGCATGCCCGCCGTCTCGCCCTGCAAAGCCCCCCCCCTGCTTTGTGATGGAAGGTGATGTGGACTACGTGCCAACAAAAACGGAAAGTCTGATCCGTTCGATAGAGGGCGCGCACTTGGTGTGATTTCAAACAACTGGGTCGTTGCTGTAACGTGGTCTATTGTCGCAGCAGCTGCACCAACACAACTGTGTCGCATATTGCCGTAAGAAATAATGTCTGAAGGGGCAGACGAGTCGGTGGAATATGCCGAGTGCACAGGCGGCCGCGTCATCACGCTGGTTGGACGCATCGAGGTACAGGCTACGCACACCCGCACCATGCGCTTGGATGGGGATGTCGGCCGTACTAGATGGGGCTTTGCTTGGTGTTCGGGGCTACTTTTTATTACTTCTCCTACTTTCCACAGAGGATTGCACGTCCCGCAGAGCACTTCGCCGCACTTGTAGCAATGGGTTTTCACCACCGCTCGATGCAATCGAGAGCTAAATTTGGCTCTGCACAGCGCACAATGCGACCGCGACGCTGGTGGAACGAACGCGCATTCTGGCAAAAGGTTGAATGACAAAACCCGCTCGTGGCGGAAATTTCGGTCCAGCGAAGCCATACATTGGGATATCTTGTGTTTGGCGAATCGATCCACAAGCCAAGGTCTCAGTGCTCCCCTGGCGTCTTGCTGGTAGATGCGAAACACGCTGAGGTACCCCGGTCGATGCTCGACAAATATGTCGCCGCCCAGCCACATGTGACACCGTACAATCCCCAACGACCTTTCAAGATCGGGCACGATCTTCCCCAAGTCAATGGATGTCATACATCGGCCAAACCCGCGAAGTCCGTCGATCGTAAAGTCGTCGCAGTACTAGAAAAATATACACATATTAGATAACTATCATCATATTACTACAAATCACCACCAATTGTAATGCTCAACTACCTGATGATAGTATTTTTTGATGAAAGAAGAATAGTAGAATTTTCATTTTCGGTGTGACAGTCTTGATATATATAATATATATATAGTAGTTTGGCTAATGAATACTTCGAACTATATTATATTGGCAGCATACGATCAAAAAGAAAGAACAACCAAGCACGGATTGGTTCAAAGACTGATAGCCCCAGTACTATTAATAGTTCATGACTATAGTATTATTATTAGCTATAGGTTGCAATATACTAGTATAAATGTTTGGTATATTCCATATAGTTTGGCGCGTATTGCTCAGATACGAGATCAAACAAATCCACGATAGGATATATATATATATATATATATAATGGCGGTTGCTTGATATACCTCGATGAACACCATGTCGCGAAGCTTGATGAGTGGATTGTTGGCAGTCACGGCGCGCCATTTGATGGAGATCGAGTTGTGCGGATGGGATGGTGTGGGAGTGGCGAGCGGATACAAGTTCTTCAGGTCCACCACCTGGTCGTTGTGGTACGTCGCGCAGTAGTCGCGACGGCCGTCCGCCCCCGCGCTCATGATCGACGCGGCTTCGTCCAGTGTTGCCTGCACCTCTGTCACATTCAAATACACGGTTCGATATCCACTCGGGAGATGCATGTCCTTGCCGCGGTACACGGTCACCCCGTGATGTTCGTGGTCAAATGTCCATGAGATTGGACCTCCGCGGAGCCTCGTCTTCGCGACAAAGTCTACGAGAGAGCGCTGGCTCTGACGAATGTACTCGTGGCGGAGGTTGTCGGACAGCGGCGGCGTGCTGAAGAACCCATCGGGCAATGGAACTTTGACTTTCATCGGGGAAATGCAACAATGCAACGAAAAGGTCAAAGGTACCTTGGCTTGCATTTTTAAAAACCGCACATGGACGTGCTACATACGGTGTTTGTATATAACATAAATATTTGGAATTAAAATTTGTATCTCATATGATTGCAATATACCACTGTAGGGAAATGTAGGTTGGTGGTACTTCAGAATGTCACATACACTACAGTGTATTATGTGTACTCATGAGATTTGCCATGCAAGAATACCGTTATCTTGGTTGTTGTATAAGAAGAAGCTTCTCGTAGAGCCGAGGATCCACTGGACACGTGACACGTACGCCTACAAATGTCACCAAGACAATATAAGTCACACTATACAGTATATATACCGGTACGGCAAGGTCGGTGCTTAAGTACTGTTTGAGGTACTACTGTACATAACTTACTGTATATAATGCCCCTTGGTGGTTTGATTTGGCTGTGTTTACCAAACGAGCTATTTTGACTAGTTATAGAGCTGGTGTTTTCGTGGACGAGCTACTACTATTAATAGTACAGTACAGCATTGTTTATTCTGACCAACTAAACACCCTAGACCTTGTTGTCAATGTATACCAGTACTATGAGAGCTCTTTCGAAAACTGTTGAGGTAGAGTATTATTTACACTACTGCCACTCTCGTGAGGTTGGGCAAGTGCCACTTGCATTTGATTGGACACTAGGATGGCGACACAAGGTTGCAAATGGTTGTGGAGCTCTTTGCTGGAAAACTCTGGTTACCAACAGCCTGTATGTACTGTACGGTAAAGTCGTCCCAGTACAGTAGAGTCGATTTTAGTATCATTCTCCATTCAAAGTGAGGTGGGCAGAGAATTTCGTTGCACCATCCTTCCACGTACGTACTAGCGTTTACGTTACGGCCTCGCTTTTGCCCTTACTGTAATCCTTGCCCGCTTTTGTAGTTGTTGGAACACTTGTCAAGCAACGCTGGATGGCCCCTAATAAGCGATATGGATCATATTCCCGTTTGTGGGGCGTGCTATTGCTCACTTTTCAACTATCCATTTCGTAGAAGGACATTTCATTCACGTGACGAAAGGACGACATGAAATATCCTTGCAATGAGATCCTTGGACGCAGGATTTGACCATAAGTTACCTACTTACACGTTGAAAGGTCGAAAAAAATAAAAAGTATTGTCGGCACCACGATAAATTTGCCAGTATTTCCCGTCTTGCATACTAATGACCAGTGCAATCCTTGCATTACCCCGTGCAGTTTGCACACGCCTCATTCAATCAAAATTATGTCACCTCTAACGCTGACCGCAAACCACGAAAGTACTTTCTGAAGGCCTGGAACAGGTTGCCCTTCGCTCTCCGTCAATGGTATTCCCATCAAGCACCTTGATTTGGACAAAGTTCTTCTCAACCTTCAACATTATTACACCTCCTCCCCACGACATTGCACTTTGGTCAACCTGACTTACAGTACTCTCGCCACCGCAGCATGCCATCTTTTGGTCTGGTACGTAATGCAACTACGTTGAAAGTACGATTGAAGTCATACCGCTGGGATATGGAAAGGACGCTTCTGTCATAAATAATCAGGGCCCTTATCCTTGACGGCGGGCGAATGTCCAGGGGAGGTGTCCACGGTTCGTGTAGGCAGCGGGAATGCCATCAACTGTATAAGACTGATTTGAATTCCAAGGATTTCCCACTCGTTCTGTGGTTGAATAAAGTAGCGATTTAAAACGTGTAAGTTAGTATGAAACTACGAATAAGTTGGATCTTAGTGTTCTTCTACGTGTCCAGTATACAACCTCCAAGTCCAATTGTGATTGGCATCAATCAAATCACTGGGGTTAGTTTGGCGAACAATTCAGTTGCTGGAATTTCAACTTGATTCAAACCCGCGTCTTGAAGCGGAGTGATGGTCATATCCAGCCCTCAGAAAACATGGCATTTGTATGCTGACCTTCAAACCCAGGACAGAGTGATGGTCGCAATCGTAATAACATTTTGAGATGTTCCAATGACAACGAGGGGCAAAACCCATAAAAGGCTGACGAACACCAAGCCGAGAATAACTTATATATGAATACTACACTGCATACCAATACAGTACTATGTTGTAGTTACACCCCGACGTAACCGAGCTCTTTCGAAAACGTGTTGAGCTTGCTTGACTTTGACTTTTGCAAAAAATCCATCACTTTTGACAGGCCCATCACTGTGGTGTCGCACGATTGCGATCTTGCATGTTTTGGTTCATTCATGAACTTACATCTCAATATGACCACTCGTCACTCGCACACCATACACAAGCCTGTCAAAGTACTACCCTCCACGAGCCAACTCTGGCCGTTGCATACCAAGCCTGACAACTACTTTGTCAAGTGGACTGGCGGTGATTTGGGCCTCGCGCTTACTTCGGAGCCAGTTTGCGTGAGTCGCGTGACTGGCAAAGGATGCCCCCAACGCCACCTGGAGCTTGTTCGACCCGGCGACGTCTTGCTCTCCGTGAATGGCCTTCCCACCAAACACCTTGGAATGGATGTAGTCCTTCGCATCCTTCGCCATTGCCGCCTTCCCGCAACATTGCACTTTGGTCGACCTGGCTTTGACGACTTTTGGACATACCCTCACCGCAGCAGCATGCCCAGTTTTTCCCCATCCTCCCTCGGTTTAGAAACCCCTCGACCTCGTCGAATGTCGTTCACACCGCCGAGCTGCTATGTCGACGATATCACAAGTCCTCGCAACTCCAAGGGCCCAGTGAAATCGCCCTTGGTGCCCAACCCGGCAGCTCCGGAGCGCGTCAGTTCCATCCATGGTGGCCGCCACTCGTCTCCTTTCTGAGCTCTTGTGTGCGATTCATTCCATTGTATTTAATGCAATACAAACGTCGAAATCTCGCTTTACGGCGGCCTGTTGACTTGTTTGAAATGGTGGCTACATATGCTGCAACTTAGGTAGGAAATTGCCACCTCAAAACACTGTCGCCCCATCCCCCTACTTGAAAATGACCCTATTATTGTACGCCATCTCATCCAAACGAAATGTTTGGCTTGAATAGCTGGTTGGTTGCCTCAGCCGTCCGTAACCACAACAACTTACATTTTTTAGTAGTTCTCTGCTCATGGTCTACTGTATTCTGTACTCCTACAGCAACAGGCTACAAAGTGGTTGTCTTGTGGATTCACAAACTATCAGTACAAATTTCCAGACCCGGCCAAATCGAATCTCGCCGCCGAATCGAATCACGAATCGACGGCTGTGGTACGACTAAGACCGAGTCTGGATGCTAACGTTGAAGAAAATTTGATGTCAACTAATATATCTGACAGAGAACTCCCCTTTCAAGTTGGAGGTGCGAAAATAGTTGCAACATTACTGTATTTGATGTGTGACCTCTGGATGCGATAAAACCAGAAAGCAGTAACAAATCGACCTATTTTGTAAATTTATTGATTGGTAGCCAAGCCCAGAAATCCTGTCGTTTGAAAAGTTATCGTAATAATTTTCGACCCTTGGCAGGGCCGAACCTACTTTTGAGTGGCTGTGATTGGCGCTTACAGCAGAACGACAGCCAATCAGAGCTTCCAGTGTAATTGATTCCATGTGAACGCTTAGAAATCCACACGCAATGTGGACGTTTACACCGTACTATTCAATATATATATCTTCTTCCTGATTATTACAAGCGAAAACAATTGCTGTCTGTGTCACTATGGATGGCCGAGTCGTCGTTGTCGGCGCCGAGCAGTACATGTTGGTCCGCCTGGTCGTCGTGATAATACTGCATCGGCCGCCATCTCTCGGGGGCTTCGTCTTCTTGTAGAGCAATGGGCTTATACCAGTCGGCTTGCATGTCTTCTTGCGAGCTATTCCGTGGGTACCAGTACAACGACTGACCAGCGCCGAAGTCGCCTTGTACGCCACTCTGCACAAAATTCGCGTCGTTACATGCTGCTGCACCTTGTCGCATATTGCGATGCTGGTCGACAAACGATTCTTCTGGGAGGTTGTTTCGCAAGGGTTGTGGTGGTCTGTTGTCCGATGTCGCAGGTGAATTCGACGATGCCGTGAGCGTTACACAAGGAATGCATACACACGCAAAAGGTTCCATCGTCGTCATCACGATGAAAGGAACAGCGGCGGTGGTAGGCGGGTCCAAAGGATGGCAGCATTGCCGGCATACGATCTATTATCATCGTAAGAGTTATTCGATATATGCGATAAGGTGGCCCAATACGCGATACTGTGATGGCCCCAGACTCTCATAAATATATCATAAACAACTATACGTGTTGTCCAATGAAAGAGCTATGTTGACTTTTTTATATGTTTACTAGTTAGTATACATTAAACCAAAGTTCGAAATCATAAAAGATCGCTTCGAAATTGCCAATTTTGGGATCAATGCATTTTGACGAATCAAACGTCAACACGAACTAAATAAAGCCATGGATTGGCTGAAAACAACGAAATTCAACGAATCAAAACGAATTCCTTGTTGGATTGCACGCGGATTGGCCAAATTATAACTTCGAAGTGGGTTGACGAAATCGAGCAGTATAATTGGATAAAACGAAAAGAAGGCTTCCATACTATTCGCTAAATCGAATACGACAAGAACCTCTTCACTTTTGATATATATATATATATATATATATATATATATATATCACATTTCACAGGTCCGATGATGATGTGGTTGGTTTACGCCAAAGCAAGGACGAAATAACGAGGATTCACACACACAACATGCACAATACGAATCCCAAAAAAATATATAAAAAATATAAATACACTAAAACCCAACTATTTTAATCAACCATTCGAATTGGACACAACACTACATATAACTACGAGTACGTACGTGGTTACATCGACGGCATTGAAACTGCGACCGGCGACTTGTTGCTATCTTTAAGTGGCAACCGTGGCACTTCATTTCGGCTTCTTCACTTGGTTGCGGCAAAATCAGCATGCGCGTCATGCGCTGTGCTCGAAAGTGCGCGTCCATATCGACCAGCGTCCGCGCCCGCTTCTTGATACCGACACGTAAGATCCACTGGGGAAGGTTTCCGTTCAAGTTGACGTGGAAAATCTGCGCCGCTCGAAGCACCCCTCGGCGGTTGGTTTCTAAGAAGACAGTGCCAGACGCGTCGAACGTGCCGCGGACGATGCCCAGCACAGATGACAGCGGCGGGACCCAGCTTAAATCTACTGAGTGCAGGACGCGAGCCCATCCCTTGGTGGACCCCAGGGTAAAGTCATCGCAACACTATATACGTACAGGGTCTTTTGGTTACATATGTACTATATATATATATATATAAATACAAGAGAAGAGGGTGGAACGACCATACATACATATGGTGGATTCATGGGTACATATAGTACATATTATATATATATATATATATTATATAAATAAACACAAATATATATATATATAATTATATATGTATGCAAAAAACAGGGAGGGAGGACCATACGTATATATATATATATATATGGTGGATTCGGTCGGTACAAATGGTCAAACAAGTCGAATCATGCCGCCGATTTTTTGGCTAATAATTCAACTTTGAGAGCTTTGGATTGGCTGTTTCAGAAAAGACAAGCCTATTCAGCCAATCAGAGTGCCCAGCGTGATTTATACCTTGGATACTAGTATAGAAAACCACCTCGCGAATTTACAGCAAGTATATTGTGGATTTGTGTGCTCAATAAGTAAATATCCAAGTTGAAGCGGGGCACTACTGTGAATCGGGAGCCAATCGATCGACGAATCAAAATCCACAACACCAATATTCAATTGACCAATCAAATTCCTTCAACTATAATGTGACTTGAAATAGTGTGAAGGGATTTCACCCCCCCCACCAAATGTACACTATTTAACAACACGAAATATACACACACTACTATTAATAGTATATATATCAAGCACAGACGAGTAAAACTGAAAAAATATGCAGCCAAGACACACACATATGAGGATCACACATCAACCGCACCTCGACGACACAAAAGTCTCGGTTTCGACAGGGCAGGGGCGTCTCCTGGACAAACCATTTGAGGCCAATGTAGTTGCGCGGGTACGTCGGCGTGCGCGGCGCGAGGGTCGCGAGCACGGCGCAGTCGATCACGTCCTTGTTGTATCGCTGGATGAAGGTGCGGTACGAATCGGACGTGTCGCACTCGAGAAGCGACGCGGCTTCATCCAGCGTCGCGTGGAGTTCCGTGACGCTCATAAACACGACCGTGCCTTTCGCCTTTGTCAGGTCCGACCCAGCGTACACCTGGAGGTCCTGCGTCGCACGCTCCAGCTTCCACTTGTACGCACTCGTGTCGTCCAACCGGGCGTGCATCACGAGGTGCTTGAGCGCGTCGACGCCGGATGCGATCATCGCGTCAGCTTCCGACGACGTCAACACGGGGCATTGAAAGAAGTCGGGAGGAAGCGGGTGCGCGAGGCGACGGCGCTGCATGATACCCTAGCGGTGGTGCAGCAGAGATGGACGACGGCACTGGCGGAGAGGTCACAACCCTCGTGTGCTGGTTCGTAGATAAGAAACTGGCACCTCGATTGGGGTACTTACAGTACTGGCGGTGCACAGTACTGGTACATAACCTCCCACATTTAATACTATCACAACAGTACGTACTCCAAAAGTTGAAAAGCAATTACTCCATAGTATATTACTTCGAAGTACTTGAAGTACCGGTATGAATTTGCTCGCCGAAATTTCATTGGCTCCCGATTTTGTTGAAGAACGAATATAAAAGAAAAATATAATGTAGCCAATCACCGACAAGAATTTCTAGACCTACTTACAGTATGCGAGCAATTCATGATCGGTTTGGTCGGAGTGATTCGACTGACAGCAGGGGTCTGGAAATTCATACGAATGCAATAATTTAATATTATAGGGAGATTTCGGATGGTAATTATTATTTTCAGTTAATACTACGTAGTAATAAATACCATGCGAAATCTTCGAAGTATTAAAATACTTCGAAGCACTATTAGTACGGGTACGTACTATTAATACTACTTACAGTACTACTGTACTACCAAGATTGCCTTGTCATGAATTATAGTAGCATAAAAATTATAGTAGCATAAACAGCATGACCAGGAGCTCCATATATACTGTACTACTGTATACAACAACGTACAGCTGCCCACAACCATTTCTCTCTCAGCTCAAAGCCGTCGCTTCACTAGGTACTACTACCGTAATATCAAAATAATTAGTTTTCACAGGTCGATTGACCACCATGGCTGGAATGCAAAACCACGAAAAATGTGTACAAATTGTGGCTTTCAAAGTTCTCGAAATCACAAGGTTCCTTCTGTGCACGGGCGTCGGGTACATAATGCACGACAAACAAGGGTAGAAATGTATTTAAAATATAAGTATATGCAAGTGAAGTGGCGGTTTATGAGTCTACTCAAAGCGGCCTCGACGGGACATGTAATCGTACATGGCCATGGTGCTCAGGAGCAGCACGACGCTCGTGACTTGGCCGTAGATGCGCGTGTGCATGATCTTCTGGGAGAACTGGATGTTCGGGTTCCGGTTCTGGTCGAGGAAGATGAGCCCCACCATCGGCACGGCGGTGCATGCGATGGTGCGGAATGGGTAGTCGTGGACGTAGTTGCCCAGCTGCTGGTGCAGTGGTAGCGACTTGGAAGACGATAGTTCGGCTTTGGCAGCGGCGGGACCGCCTTGGAGGTCTGAAATGTACTTGTCTGGGTTGCGACTGCCTCGCAGCAAGTCGGTTTCCGCGGCAATTGTGAACGACGACAAGCCCGCCATGACGACCAGACCCACCTTGCCACTCACCCCCAGCCGAGCGCGAAACGTCGGCGAGTACTGGTGCGCGGCCGCGACGAGGGTACCTGCCACGGCGGCGGTGCCGGCACCGACCTTGAGCCCGAACGAGGTCGAGCTGGACGTGATGATGTCGCGCTTTTGAATCGACGAGGTCATGGCTTTGGTTTGTGTCGGTGGGGTCTCTTGGCGGAGGAAGATGAGGAAATGGGGTAGAAGGGGAAGTATTTCTGAAATAGCTCAGCTGACATGGGAGTAAATGCAATGATTACCTCATCTTGATGCACCAGGTACCGGTTAGTCAACATCGTGCTTACTAACTCAAATTGGAATTTACTGGTATAAGTGTCTCACCGTACTGCTGCTATAAATAGCCAAGATGGCGTGCGTACCCTGGATATAAATAAAAGGAGCTGCAAAACGGCAAACTTCCCTTTGCATTGATGGTGTAGAGTGAAGATTATGGTGTACACTGGCAAAGTCCCCCAGCATCCTTGTGGTTTGGCCCTTCACAAGTTGGTTGCTCTCAATGTACACTGTACAACCCAATGACGTTCCAGCTCGCCACATCCATGGAGGTTCTATATCAAGGAATTCGAAGGATCATTCACTACACATCATTCAAATTAGACTGATATAGCATATATCTTGACAACTATTTCGAGGCCACATCGACATATGTATGCACTCGGTTATACAAAGTAAAGTCAATTCGGGGGCGAATGTATTAATGCAAATTTAGGTATTTCGGATTGGCTATTACAGATAGAGACAACCAATCACAAGTCCCCGCTTGCTTCAATTTTGGTTGGAAATTTATACCGAATTCGCAATATATTACGTACAGTCCTGATGTAAACTATAGACGCACGTGAATTTTTGACATTTCTCAAAACTTATTTCGATTTGAAGCTCACTGATTTGATATGATACTTTATTTAAGTTTCGAAATACATTGTTGGTGACAAAACTTTAAAATTCGAAGTACTATTTTTGAAAATTACAAAAAACCATTTTTCAGGGTGATGCAAATTATAGACGCACTTTTTTAAGAGCAGTTATTTATCAATTGCATTACCGTTTCTCAACACTACTTGGGCCATCCT